GTATTTATTTCTCAAATTAGTTCTAAGCTCGGAACCAATCTTTTTTATAGGTTCGACAACAAGATATAACTGAATGTAAAATTGAAAAATACGATGTAGTTGGTTATCAAATGCCAGAGACTTCGAAAGAATATACATGCAAGGACGACTTGTGAATTATTATTATTTCACTTTTTTTTCTACAATTACAGATTCCTTTATTGATAAAAGTGTGTATATTTGGATAATGGTGTCTATTTTTTATTTTAGATTATCTTTAAACAGCAGTAAAATCCCTGCACTTTAAGATCGCTTAAGAAACATTCTTCCAAAGCAACATATGTGAATACATTATCACAGTTAATATTGCGACAATTTTAGCTATTCAAATTATGGCTACAAAAGCCAAACTACAACAGGTGCAGCACTAGCACTGCTCATCACCTATTTCCAACATTTCACGCATCAAACTTAATGGATTCAATTGTACACACAACATATCATCACTGCCAACTGTATCTCGAAAATCGTAATCAGATAAATCACCACTTTGTATATCTCGAAACATTCCAGCTAATAATCGTCGCCTTTTCTCGTGCTTTGGATCATCAACTTCTTTTTGGATTTCTTCCAAGATATTCAAAATTATGGCAGAGTCTGTAATGTGAACTGTAGTTTCCACGTAAAACTACAAAGAAAAACAACAGAATGGTTCGATTTCGAAAAGAAAACAAAAGATGCTTGATATCGCAGAGATGTCACGTTAAATGATTGTTATTCAATCAACAGAGAGTTTCCAAAAAGCAAAATGAAATTTCATCAATTACGAAAACGGAATAAGTATCAGATGTTTTAAATCTTCTAAAATGCAACCGTACCTAGTGCACAACTGCATCAAATTTATTTATTTTGGCTACTTAAAGATCTGCTCGTTTTCGACCTGTCATCCCTACTAGAAAAACATCTATGTGCATTAAGTTAAACTTGGCAAAGTAATAGTTTAGTTATAGCGATCCTTTAAACTAACACATTATAAACAGAATTAATTATGAACAGAAACCAACCAAAAGCTTTACAACTTAATGTTGTCGTTCCTGAAAGACATGCCTGCAAGAAACGATAATAATCAGCACAGTCAACAACTTGTCTTCTGTTAGCACCTCGAGCATAGGCCGAATCGGTCACCCTGAAGTATTTCCTAGTATCCACAGATGCTGGTCGACATTTCACTTCATGTGCCAAATAATCCTGAAACTAACACTCTTTCAATGATGTTCAGTTAAAACGCTATACCCAATCTATTACTGTAGGAAAAATATTCAGTTGAAAGCACATTCGGTGCGTGTAAAACTAACATTTTAAACAATGAGAAATTTCAAAAAATAATAATCAAAACTGAAATCATTTTCGAAATGAAATCAGTTTCTTTTGAAATTGAAACCAGTTTTTACGCCCCGTAAACGAGGAATAAATATTTCGTCTCAAATGGTGTAAGCTAATTCTTCCGAGATAATTTTATGCTTAAAACTACAGAAAGTTTGGAAGGTTCTTGAATAGCTGCGAACAATAATACTGCAGTCACTCTATTTTCCTGCTTATAATATTAATGAAATTACAATTTCTGCAAAAACAGTGCACTGAAAAGAGTCAAGAAAATGAGCACAATAGAATGTTAATAAAAGTAAATATCTTCGAATGAAAAAGAAAAACTCACTAATAGAGCTGAATCAGTATAATCATTGACTCGTCGTTTCCGATTCTGAATAACGTGAACAGCGCTCGACCAATCTTGGATCTGGAAATTTTCCTCCATTTGAAACAGTTCATTGTAATATTTCTTTGAAATAAAAATTTTTGTAACAAACGGGTGTGCAGCGAGCAACAGCGCAACATATATAACATGCTATTTTGTGAAGCAAATAATTCATTGTAATTTTCATATATTTCATATTTGATGATTTCCCGATCTGGATAGCCTGTAACGTCCGTCGTGGATGCTTGTCAATACAAAGTAGCAGAAAGTAAGTAAAACAAAGTTTTCAAAACAGTGTAGAGGAGTTGTCGGTCCATTCGAATAAGAAAGCAGAAAGAATCAGTGCAATTATTAAGTAAAACAGAATTTTCAAAACAGTGTAGAGCTACCGGTCCATTCGAATAAGAAAGCAAAAAGAATCAGTGGAATTATTTGACAAAATGATCGTCCCAGCGAAAAAAATGTAAAACAAATTGCAAGCAAAAAAAGATTACCTCACTAGTTCCAGAAGGTAATATGATCCCTTTCAACCATTCCGTCTTTCGTGCTTCAACTCGCATTTCATGCCTTAGTCGAGTCAACTCACGAATTCCAGAAATTCTTTCGCGTATATCATGCATCGAACGATTTGGGATACTTTTTGTTGCATGGAACAGGCAATTATCATTTATGCCATAACTAAATGACATGCAATAATCAATAAATGAAATGTTTTTCAATATTATAATTCGATTCAAATGAAAAAATTTTTAGAAAGTTAAACACACACTACTATTAGTGCAACATCGTGCACATCAAATCCTGCATTTCAAAATGTCGCGATAATAGTAAAGTAACGAAAACATTTGTATTATTCCATCATAATCCGATGCTTACTTTTTTGCACGTGGCCCAAAAAGTTTTAACAATTTCAAAAATGCACACCGAAAGTAAGAGATTAACAACGAAATCATAAATGCTACACAAAAGCTATTGTAATTTGAAGCAAACTGGATAGAAAACATGCAATATTAACAATAAAACAACAACACAATGAGAACTAACGAATTTATGCAACTGTGCAAGGTTTTCAGCTCCTCAATTGTCCATTCTTTGCCTTCATCCTAATAAATACGTAAAGACCCATTAATTATATTAGGAAAAAAGAAGAAATAATATAATATATTGTCGAAGCTTTCCACACAATAAAGTACTGACTTTTCAAAATACACAAAATATATAGTAGTTTTATAAAAATAAAACGAAACGCTGCTACCTCTTTCAAAAGTGGTAAAGTGATATTATATATCGGTCTTTCATCTCGATCACCAAAATCGAATTTACCACTTAAAACCTGAAATACATATTGAAAGCACATCTACTGAGAAACATTCATATCTATACCATGTTTGTGGTTAAAAAAAGTGAAAGCAATATCAAAATTGAGGGAATGTTTCCTTACCTCCTCATCGTTCCTTGTGCAAACTATTCTTCGAGATCGATCGCTGGAAGTTCGCTCCGCACGATTTCCTCTCTGTCGAATTTCAACTAAAACATAAATGCATTGGAATAACACGAACAAAACATTGGAGCAAAACAACAGTATTTCCTAATTAGTTTTGATGAATGATATCGAATTTACTGCAACATTTTATGTATCGAATTTACTGCAACATTTTATGTTTACACTTGACACTAAATATTGTTTTAAAACAAGCTAATTGTGGAACTATCATCAATTATAGAAGATTTATTCCTTTAATTGTTATTCACAAATAGCACAAAAGCTTTTCAAATTATGAATAATCTTAATTTTAAAAAGGAAATCAAAATACCTTCAACTGGTGAGTGTTCATTACATTCATCATTCTGAATGATCGTTCGTGTACGAGTGGATGACTGAGATTGAGAAGTGGATGGCTCTTGCTGCTGTTGTTGTTTGCTGATAGCTTCGCTATGTATACGAATCTCATTAGCAGCCATTAGTTTATCACTTTATCGTCATGAATAGAAAACAAAATTCTATAAAAGAAGAAGAATTGTATAAATTAAAAAGAGAATTATAACATAAATATTATTGAAATATACCAAGCAAGATTAATAAAAATCAAAGATTAAACTACAGATACTTTATGCTCTCAATCTGAATTTATATCGCATCCTTAATTATGAGATATCTTAGTTAAATTATTATCTTCGTCAAAATCCTAATCGATCTATCTCTGCAGATCAAAAAACAAATTATGAAAATCAGGTTAATTAGAATGTCTAAATAAGTGTCGCATCTTCTCTAGTGAAGTAAATTAGAATATCTCAAAGAATCTATCGTTCCAAAATCTATCATTACAACCAATAACACGGCGACTTTTAACATGACTTGAATTATCATTTGCAGAAGCACCAAGTTACATAACACCAATAGCACCAACTCGGCAACAATTTACCAATTTCTGGTACTAATTTGGTACCAATTTTGGTACCAAATTTTCGTACTTCGGTATCAGTGGTACCAACTTCTCCTACCAGTGTTAACTACCAATGCATTATTTCGCCGGGCATCAACAGCACCAATCGAAACGAACCCAGAATTATGGTAACAAAGTGGCACCGGTGCAAAAATTGGCACGTGTGGTAAATCACAGTTGACGGACCAAGGGATGTTTTTTTTTCTGTTAATACGATTTTTATTGTATGTTCAGATGTTTTATTTTTCGATGTCAAAGCAATGGTACAGTTGGTGCGGTATCTCGTTGGTAGCATTGGTTCTGTTTCAGTTACCTTACATTCATATTCGGTAACAATTTTTCGCACCCTTCATTCGTTCACTCCCGTTTATTGCAAATTTGTAAGTATAATTAACTCCCTCTCTCTACAGTAATTCCATTCTTTTAATTTTAACTTAAAAATTGATTAGTTTAATCCTTGCTTGTTTCTTTTGCTCTTTTTTCTTCTCTTTTTTCTTTGTTACGAAAGTTCGTTTTTTTTCCTACTCATTAATGTTTTGAAATATAATTTTGCTTCGGAATTAATTTTCTCTTACTTTTTGCTTTGGTTTTAGAACTTTTATTTTGGACCTATCAATGTTTTTAGTCATATACAAACTGAGCAGATAAATGCCATTTTAAGGAAATAATGAAATGTTTATTATTAAAAATTTTGAACTCAGAGTCGTTTAATTATTACGAATGTTTCACTTTTTTTTCCTTTAATCAATTTTACTCATCATTTTATAGGTTTTAAAAAATATGGATCTGATGATGGATGGTGCAACGAATGAAAAATTGGAAAGTTTTCGAGCGTTATTCATACGTCCTGATATTGTTAAGAATGCCAGTGGAGCTATTGATGGTTATCTGTTACCAAGTACTGATCCTCATCAGGTGTGTAATTTTGTAGTTTTTTTTTCCCAAATTTAAGTTTTACCGTATGAAATAGGAATGAAATCACTGATGGTGATGGTTTTTATTGAAATCTTACAAAAATTATTAATAAACTACTTCATAAATTGAGGAACAAGTTGAAGAAGGCGAGAGTTTTTATAGGATAAAAAAAAAACTGTCTTTTTGTTGTATGCATTCTATAACATTGCGTCAAATATATTTGATGAGTAAATTCACAGGAGAGAAATTGTGTTCATTTTACCAACCATTACAAATGTTTTATTCAGACCAAACTTAACAATCAGTTAGAATAATTAAAAATATTTAATTTTAGCTGGTCGGATGCAACGTTGAAATATTACTGCATAAAAAATAAGTTAGGAATTCTTTTGCTAACTTGCTTTGACTTAGAAAGTTCTAGGTAACGTTTAGGGTATGCTCTTTTGCTTTCTGCTTTATTTATCATCTACCAATTTCTTTTAATGTTTAACATTCTCGTTCAACTTGTCTTCAGTCATAGAGGTGGGAATGGATAGCAAAACTATAGTAATGAGCTCTCTCTCTCCATTGGCTTATTAATATATATCCATGATTAATTTGGATTCTTCATTGAAAGGTAATGAGATTGCGAGTGAGTTCAGGTGTTCTCATTTATGGCACGGGTAAAAGGTCAACGGTGAGTTCTTCCAGAAATGATATCAGTTTTGGATGTTTTTCGGGAAGGATCTTACCATAGTGGTTTTTACAAAAGTAACACCCAAGAATACCTTTGCTTAACACATTGCATTCATTCTGATCCTGATCAGC